GGTGCTGATCAGAATGAAAGCAGGAAGCTATCAATCATCTAGGTCTCAGAGCTACAAGGAACCTCGGGACCCTATACATTTGATAGCTGGGGAAAGGGGGGGGGAAGGGGACAGATGTCTTCCCCAGGTCAGACTGGCCAGAATGGCATATACTACCGTCCCCATATCAAACAAGGTGTCATCCACTACTGACCTATCACCAGGAGGACACGTGTTTCAACTTATTTTTTAATAATAGCGTCCAAGCTTTCAAGTGATTCCACACAACTTTGGAATGATCAGCTAGGGATGTAATTTGTGACTAGGAAATAGCAAAACTAACTGGGCCAGACTGAGATGTGGCAGCATCATGCTCCTTTCATTTACCTCCAATTCAACATAGATTTTTTTTTTTTAAAAGTGTCAACCAATGCACCGAGCTAGCCAGTCCTCAAGTGTACCTATTAGGTTGAAAATAAATACCCCATAGGTACCACACATTGAAGCACTGAATGATAGATTTAGGCTTGGCAGGGATCTTGAAAAATGCTACAGTTTAATCTAACAGGTCATTCATCAATTTTCTGGCAGAGTATCATCCAGCTTCTGCTCTGATACCTGCAGAAACAGAGAGCTCACTCCTTATCACTGCTGCCTACCAGTCCCGGTTGGAGAAGCAGTTTGCTCTGTCATCTGCAGGAAGCCTTTTCAAATATGCAAAATCAATGACCATCTGGAGAAGGAGAAGCAGCAGCAGCGCATGCTGAAAGAGTACTAGGCACTGAATAGGAGAGCCCTGGGTTCAAATCCTACCTCTTAACACCTCCTGTCAACTCCTTTGGCCTCCTTATACCTGGTTTCCACACATTTCAAATAGAGATTGTATCTCTATTGTACCTAGATACTTATTGTATCTATCACCTCATGGGTGAAACACTCCAGTGATAAGCATGAACTCCTATTATCATCTTAATTCTCCAATTTCCAATTCTTTAGATCTGACTTTATTTCTGTGAAAAGTATTTTGTGATTGTGTTTATCTAGTTCCTGAGTTTGTCTTGGCAGGTAACTCCCAAGTATTTTATATTGTTTACAGTTATTTTAAATGGAATTTCTTTCTATCTCTTGCTGCTGGGTTTTGTTAGCAACAGAAATGCTGATGATTTATGTGGGTTTACTCTTATTTAATTTTCCAATTTCCTCAGAACTAGCCCTGCATGAAGTTAGTTAGTCCTTATGTGAAAGAGTAAATACCTTCTCTTCCCTGGCAGTTTCCACCTTTTTCAAATGATCAGAGGGTCTAACATTCTATGACAATATATGGAAAAGATAATCAAATGCAAAAGCTAATACATTCAAGTGCTAGGGTACCCAAAGATTGTGTGTGTTAATAATGCACTTACAGGCCCTACATGCCTAGCAATGCTCATTTTTTGTCTCACTTTGGAACTTCCAGAGGGGCAAGGCCTGTATCTAACCTAAAAAGCCCCCAAGACCCTAGACAAGTGTCCCATTTTTAGATGTTGATGAAAATGCACACTTTCCAGGAGGCCCAGAAAGGGGTGAGCATTGGTTTTGGAACCATCTTAATTAGGTTCCCATCTGACTTTCTAGAAGAGAGCTTGGATGTTAGGGAGGCTGCTCCAGACTTCATTTGAATAGGATTTCCAGAACTGTTCACTGTTCAGAAGTCATATCTGAAACAGGCCTGGTACTTGAGAAGTTGATTTTCTTTCTATCTCATTTTGCTCCACTATTTCCTCTAACTTCAACTGGGTTTGTACTGCACCCTGTCCCCTGAAACAAAGGTCCCTTTCTCCAGGGAGTGTGCAGAGATGCTGCGGAAGAGGAACCAAAAACTTAAGCAATCTCCACTTGAAAAGCTGACATTAGGGCAGCTAGATGGCGCAGTGGATAGAGCTCTGGCCCTGGATTCAGGAAGATCCAAGTTCCAATCTGGCCTCAGACACTTGACACTTCCTACCTGTGTGACCGTGGGCAAGTCACTTTACCCCATTGCCTCAAAGAGAGAGAGAGAGAGAAAGTTGACACTGGCAGGGGAGAATGCCTAAGTAAAACCAAAGAACTGCCCTATAATATGGGGCAAGAACCTGAATAGTATCAATGATAGCTAGGGGTGTGTGTATGGTCAGGTGGGGATGAGAGATAGAAATTGAGAGAGGAGAGTAAGAGAGGGAAGAAGGGGGGACAGAGAGAGCCAGAGGGAACATGAACTTCAAAACATTATCTCATTTGACTCTACAGCTGCTCAGGGAGGTTAAGTGTCACAGGTGTTATTCACTTTACAGATGAGGAAAGTAAGGTTCCCAGAGGTTGGAGGGCTTGCCCAGGATCACAGGTCAGAAGCAAGATATGAAACGAGGTCTTCCTAAGTCTGGCACTCTAACTATGCTGCCTATTTAGCAGTCTTGGTAGCCTAGCTCAAAAACCTCTTCCTCTTAGCTCCCCCTCGAACCAAAGCCAGCACTTGTGGCAATGATGCCAGGCACACAGAGTAACAGGGCATTTGAGTGTCTGCCAGTCAATTGTACATTGGCAGCAAAGGCAGCTGGGCATCAGAGCATCATCAGGTAGTTCAAAAAAGGAGAGGGTTTGTCCTCAGAGCACCCCTAAAACCCAGACACAAAGATATTCCCAAACCCATTTCTTGCCAGGCCTGACCACCCATTTGTGCCATGGCACATTACAGGCTTTGTTGTTAACAAGATAGGCTCAAGGAACATGGTTAAAAAGTTTTATTTCTAAGTTGGTTTAAAAAAAAAAAAGTGGGATCAATTCCTCTCTGTGTGCATTTTAACCTAGTTCCACACCAATTAACATGAAGCACATTTTCCAAAAAGGGACAGTGGAGCCAGCCTTCCCTTTCTTTGCTCTTCTTAGTCCTTAAGCATTGTTCATCCTATACCCCATAAAACTCCACCCACTGTCTTCTGCAAAGCTTACAGCTTGTCTTAATACACAGAGGTTTTGCACATTCTGACCCCCAACTTTTGGCTCGAAGCTATCCTACGTGTTAAGCAGTCCTTTCACGTAGGTGAATTCCAATTAAATCAGTCCAAGTGGCAGGAAGGACATACCCAGCTTTGAAGAAAAGCTCTCAGCTTTTGGGCCAGAGATGTCAATCCTGCCTTGTTTAAGAATAAACTAGGGGGCTGGAAGGATACACTCGGGCCCTAATCTGGACACATCAGAGGTAGGAAAATATAACCACGAATTGCTCCCCCACCCCAATGCAGAGGTACAAGACGCCTGATGGCAAAATTAAGTTTTCCCACAGTATGGAATACCATTATTTAAACCTCAAAGGGGTTCCAAAGATAGGGCTGTAGGAAATAACTAGTAAGCCAAGTGGAGGCTCCCTGTTATGGACTTTTGCTTGCACAGTAATGGGAGGCCCATTTTCTGGACAGCTAGTGCCACTGCGACTTTAATTATTGAGCCAAAATGTACACCCTCACAACATTTACCCACCAACCTGAGTTCAGCCTTTTGGAGCAACAGATCTCCGGTTAGCAAATGGCTATCCCCAGCAGTCCAAGCAACTGCAGGAAAGTGGTGCTGAGCAAGGAAAGCTACCCCGAAAAAGTGGCCAGGAGCTGAGGCTCCCGCCTTTCGCGGCCCTTCCAGGGCTGAGCCCCACAGCAGAACTGCACCTGCCCAACGTCACTGCTCTCCCGCCCCCCCAGGCCCAGGGCATGGAAAGCGTGTGTGTCCCTGTGGGGGGGGGGGAGGCGGCGGCGGCTGTCACTGTTACACGAGTAAGCCAGACAAGACAGATAAAAAGGGGGCGGCGGCGGTAGTGGCGGTAGTAGCAGTAGCAGCAGTAGCAGCAGCGGCAGCAGCAGCAGCAAGAGTTCAGAGGCGGGAAAAAAAAAGCAGCGGCTTTCGCGCCCGCGCTCACCCCCGGCTCCCGGGACACATCAGCCCCACCAGTCCCGCTGTCGCCCCAGCTCCGGCTCCCGCCTCCTCCCCGCAGCCCAGGCGCACTCTCGCCTACAGGGGAAGGACAGGGTTAAGGCGGAGGGGGCGGGAGCGGGAAGGAAGCCGGGCGCTCGGCAGCGGCGGCAACAGCAGCAGCCGGGCAGCCCGGCCCCGCCACGCTACCCCGCGTCTCCCCCAGCCCCAGGGCGCACTCACCCGTGTTATACACGTGCAACTCGTCCACGATCCCCTCGTTGCCGCCACCAAACACCACGATGAGCTCCTTGATGGCCACGGCGCGGTGGCCGTGGCGGGGTCGCGGGACCGGTCCCGACCAACCCACCACGCGCTTCCAGCGCGGCTGCAGGAGCTGAGCCACTGAGCTGCCGGCGGCTGCAGAGGAGGAGGAGGCGGAGGCGGAGGCGACAGAGGCGGAGGCCGCCGCGGGCTGCAGGCCCGAAGCCATGGCCCGGGACAGGGGCAGGCACACCGGAGAGAAAGGGTAGGGGTGCTCGAGTCGGGTGGAGGCGGTGGAAAAGTTAGCAGTCTCAGTCCGGCAGGCGCCGCGGAGCTCGGGGCCCCGAGAAGGAACGCTGGCTGGCCAGCGAAGCCACTCACACGGCAACGGCCGTCTCTATGGAGGCCGCCATCTTACTCACCCCCCGTACTCAAGCCCGACTCCCCGTTCTCCCAGCAATCGCGACGCCCTCAGCAATAGTGGCGGCAGCAATAGCAGCAGCGACGGCGGCAGCAACAGCCCCGGCCCCCGGAGAGCGCGTCCGCCTCGGCTCCGAGGCCCCAGTGGCCCGGCCGGCGACTCCGCCTCACAGGCCAGCCCTGGGAGCCGCCATCTTGTGCAGCCGCGCTCTCGCCTCCCTTCCTCGGGCTGAGCCCTCCTCCGCCGGAAATGGCCGAGCCCCGGCAGCCCGCCTCCCCCTGAGCTGCACTGGCTGCTCGGCTCCCCGGGCGGGCGCTGCAGCCGACAGGACGCGCCGAGCCCTGCTCCCGCGGGCGCCTCTGACGCTCAGAGCGCGCTGCTGGGAGCCGCCATCTTGGGACGGTTCCCCTGGCCGCCGGCCCCGCGCCCGCTTCGGGCTCCCTGACGCAATCGCCTACGCTACAACCCTGACCTAAGCCTGAGGGCGACCACTGGGGCAGCCACGAGCTCTCCGGACCTTCTGGCCCGTGTGCGCGCGGAGCCTGAGGCGGCCACTTGGCACCCCCAGCCTAGCCCAGCCCAGCCCTGCAGCTCAGGCCGCCGCCACTGCCCTGGGAGCCGCCATCTTGGGACCGGCTCCTCCTTTCCCCCTGCTCTCCTCCCGGCTCAGTTTCCGCAGCAGCAAAGCAAAAGAAAGACAACGGCAATGCCGCTTCCTCCTTCGCGAGGATCCCCTGCTCCCCTCTCTGCGCCCTGCAGAGCGCTGAAGTTAAGCCCGAAGGTAGCAGCTGTACGGCACAGAAAGCGGTAGACTCAGGGCGCTCATGCCTCCTCCCTGGGAGCCGCCATCTTGAGTGGAGAAGCAACAACTAAACATGGCGACGGCGGCTGGTCGGGAGGGCGGGGCTTGAGGAACGTCACTCCCCCAGCCCTCGTTCCTCCCTCCCCTCTAGGGCCCTTAAAGGGACCGGCAACCCTAAATCTTTAGGTAATTCCTCAGCGGACTTTTCGAAGCTAGCAATGTTTTATCCGCTCCTCCCCTTCAGGGCCCTTATGGATCCATGTCATCCCTCCTCCCTGGGAGTCGCCATTTTGGCCCCGCCCCTCTCCCCCATAGCGACAGTAAGTAGTTTCCTCCATCAACACTAGAAAGATGGCGATGGGCCGGGGCGGGGGAGTGGCGCTGTGTGTGTGTGTGTGTGTGTGTCTGTGTGTGTGTCTGTGTGTGTGCGTGCGCGCGCGCGGCTCCGGAGTACCCGGATGAACACTAGTAGAAAAGTTTAGCGAAAAATCTCGACGCGGCCAGTCGGCTTATGAAATGTGTTAAAAGACACTGGGCGTTGAGCAGGCGACTTAGAAACAAGGGGGTCAGGGTTAGTTAAGTGCCACACGCAATGCAGATTTGGAGTCGTGCCTTGTAGCTGGGAGCTGCCATATTTTTTTTTTCCGTTTCTCAAAACAAACATGGCAGAGATGGAACTACCCGGATGAGGGTGGTCAAGTTTGTGGGAAGGAAAGCGGGTGTGATATGGGTTCATTTGAAAACAAACATGGCTGCGCTGGTGCAAGTGCCAGGATGTGGCATCCCTAGCTGCCGTTGCCAAGGCTGCTCAGGATGGAGCCGAGCATGCGATTGAGACATACGTGTCACCACCTTCCCACATAGAGGGACTTCATTACTTTATACCCAAATTCTGAGGCGGGGGCGGGTGGAGCCGAAGAAATGGGCTGCAATCTGATATGGACGTAACCTCGGTTGCCTGGGAGCCGCCATTTTAGCTCTTCAAAACAAAGATGGCGGGTAGCTGCCCATGTGGAGCACCTCAGCGCCACTGCGGCTGAAGATGGCCGAAGCGGATGCCACGCCGCCCGTCCTTGCGCCTGATTTCGGCGACAGAGCTCGTCCCCCTAAGCAGAGACCTGGCGGAGGCCGGAAGGGCGGCCGGCTTATTGGCTACTTCTCACGCCTCTTAACAGAGAGCCGCCATTTTGGCCACTCCCTAGGGCCGGCCTTCCCCCCTGCCCCCGCCTTCCTTCGCTGCCAACAAAGATTGGGGCTGCCGAAGGGTGCGCGACCGTTACTCCTCCCTTCCCGCCACGCCTTACGAACCCTGGATTTCCCCTTTTAGGGAAGAAAATGGTGGTCTTGGAGCCCTGTCCATTCTCTTCTTTCCCGCCCCCTTCAGCCCACTGGCCATTTTACTGGGAGCCCCAATAGTGAACGTCGAGGCTGCCTCATTCTGACGGGCTCCGGGCCATTTATTTCTATACCAGGGCACTAAAAAGAAGGAGTAGAGTCTCGTGGAGAAGGCTGCAGCTGAATTCCTGCGCGCCAACTAAATGGGGGGGGCGCGGATGCAGTAAGCGGCTAGCCGCCATCTTCTCTAACTCTCTTCCCTTCACCGGAACAAAAATGGCGGCGCGGGCCCCGGATGTTGGCGGATGGGGAGGGGCACATAGGGAGTAGGATGCAGTCCAGGTCTCGGACTATGTCTAGTTCACGTCCGTTGGGCTGCTCCCTCTCCTTCATAAGCTGTGGGGGCGGGGGGAGCATTCTCAGGAATTTCTCCTCACAAGCACTCAGCAAATCTCCGTTCTCCTTCAGCCTCAGGCGCCATTTTCTCTTCTCCTAGCAACAACCCTTCCCCCTGCCAACTTTACCTAGCAACAATGGTTCTCCCCCCCACCCGGGTTCTGCGCGTGCGTGGCCCCAAAATGTAACAATTTTCGAATTCGAACTTCAAACTGGAGTTGCTTTCCAGGAGTTAGGTGGTCAGGTCGGGCGCCGAAGAATTGTTCGGCTGCCCTTCCTGAGACCGCTCCTCTTTGAGAGGTGTGTAAAAGTTAAACGCAAGAGGTTGGCCCGTGGGGGCTATGTTGGCTGCCACCACCTCCTCCTCCCCCCTCTTTGGACTGAGGTGGGTTCCGCCTATCGCGGGCCCAAAGAGCCGGAGCCCCACTGAGGTAAGCTTGGGCCGCCTCAGCCTCCGGGCCCTCGAGGGCGCCCCTTCCAGGCTGCAGCGGACAGCACCCTCCTCCCGGCCTAACCCCTGCCCCCTCGCTAAGGGTAACCTCCTGAAAAATCGTGCCCCCACCCGTTAGCTACAGCCGGTCGACTGACTGACGTAATCTCCCCCCCTCCCCCGCGTTAACTGAAGCCCACTCTCGGACCTGGGAAAGCCCCGCCCCACTGACTGAGGTAGCCACCTCCTTCGATTAACTGGGGTTTTGGGGTAGCTCGCCCGCTCACTGACGTAAGACCCCTTCAGTTAAGTGGAGTGCGCGCACCGCCCCCCTCTCCCCGCCGCTGGGCTTAGCCTCACCCCGTCCCGTTTACTTGAGGCCCCCCCCAATCGCCCGAGGTCACCCCCCCCCGCCCCGGGGTGCCGTCCATCCGGACTTGGGGCGGCTCAGTCTCCAGGAGAAAAGTGATTGCAAACCGGCCTGTGGGGACCAATGGGGGCTCCGCTGCCGCCGGGAGGTCCCGATGGGGCAAAGGTTTGGGGAAAGCCTTGACTGCCAGCCAGTAGGGAGGCGAGGTTCTTTGAGCCCCAAAGTAAAACAGTCACTAAATGTTGACATAGAAATGACCATTTTGGTTGCTGGGCGAAGAATGGATCAAAGATTAAAGGCTGAGAAAGTCGTTGGGAGACTCCAGTGGTCCATGAGAGAAGTGGAGGAGTCTGAGCTAGTGAGGCGGGTTAGAAGCAGCCTCAATTTGAATAAGCTTTTGAAGACAGGATGCACTAGTGGAAAGAGCACTGACCTAGGAGGCAGGAGGCTGCTTCCACAGATGCTGCATGCCTCGAAAATAAGCAATTATTTGATTTCTGATTGGTGCTTGTGGAAAATGAGGGAGTTGAACTAGATTACTCGTGATAACTTTGATTCAAGCTCTAAATCCATCATCCAAGATTCCAGGCACTATGCCCTCTGCCCCCCACACCTGCCATAACCAACAGTTGCCAAGTCAGAACTTTTCTCTCACTTTTCTCTTTGTACCTAGGGGTCCTAGGATGCCCCATTTGATTACTGCAGCAGCAAAGGAATAGGAAAAACACTGCATACCTGAGTTCAGTTCTCAGCTGTATCTCGGAGTTTCATTACCAGCAGGCAAGCTTGGATTTGGGGAATGAACAGTTGGGGGCTTCAGGGACATCCCAGTATTATCCTTACCGTTCCTCCCACCCCTTTCATCCCTAGAACTTCAGGTTTAACCTCACTTGTCCCAGGAGTCTGGTTTGGTCCTCAGCCTCTAAGGCCATCCTCACCTTGTATGATGTCTATGGGTGTTCTAGGGACTGTACCTTTAGTAAGGACTAGATCTTTAGGTTGAGGCCCTTTCATCTGCTAAAATGAGAGGATGACTTGAGACTAAGTGCTTCTGGGAAGTTAGAAAACAGAAGAGTTGGTAATCCAGAAATAATGACATATATTTGGGCATGGAAAACTACAGGAAGGGAAGTGTGAAGGTGGGGTGAAATCCAAGAACCTGAAATAAAGGGGCATTCCAGCAGTAGAAGTGATATGTCGTAACTGTGGACTCCAGGATAATTTCCCTGAAGAAAATTGGAGGGAACTTCTTGCAGATGGCTGGATGCCCAGCTGAACCAGATCACCAAAGGAAGGCTCATTCAAACTCTAGTGAAGAATTTAAAGTGTCTAGCAGGGGATAGGATGAGTAAAGTCAGCGCAGAAATGGAAAACATCATCCCAAAGGGCATTTGTACTGCATATGTTGATTAAGAAAGTCTAATTGCAAAGATTGCTTCAACTGGTTCTACCTCAGATTCCCCGTTTAAAAAAATTCAACTAATAATACAGTAGAAATTTGATTTACTGGAATCTTTAATGGGAATTTTTTCTTTTAGGGGAAAGAGGCAACTGACAAGAAAACCATCTTTCTTCAGGGATTTAAGAGACTAACTTATAGGGTCAGTACATGCCCAGCCCAATTTTCTTCATCCTCTATAGCTACAGTCTTCTATGGTAATCATTGATGATAATGATGACTGAAACCCTACAAAACCTTGAATCTTAAAAACAAAATGTTCAAGATACATTATTACTAAAACACAAAGGTAGATACTAATTTGTAAACACTTTCAACTTTAGCCATAGATTTTCTTGTATATTTAACTCCATTTTCTTCTTCTAGTTCTGGAAGACTGAATTGCCTAGAGCAGTGAAAGGTTAAATGACTTGTCCAGGGTCTTAGATATGGGACTGGGATAGATCCCCCTGCCTCCAAGACCAGCTTTCTATCCACTAGTCCTTGGCTGCTTCTCATAATAATAATAATACATAATAATGATAAAAGCTAGCATATATTCAGCACTTTCAGGTTGGCAAAGTGCTTTAATGTATATTACCTCATTTGATCCTCACAACAAACCTGAGGTAGGTAACTATTATTCCCATTTTAAAGGAAACTGAGGCTAAGGTCAATTAAGTGACTTTCCTAAGGACACCCAACCAGTATGTGTCAGAGGCAGGACTGGAACACAAGTCTTCCTGGCTCCAAGGCCACCTCTCTATCCACTAAGCCATGACTGCCTCTCATAGAATAATAATAATAAATAATCGAAATTTATATAGCACTTGAACTTTTATGAAATATTGTCTATTCATTTATCTCATTTGATCTTTACAGCCCCACAAGGTAGATACTCCATTTTTATAGATGAGGAAACTGAGGCTCCTAGAACTTAAGTGACTTGGCTGTTATCCCCCTAGCTAGTGTCACAATTTGGTTTTTCCAGAATCCCAATCCAGTGCTCTTTCTACTCTACCGTGCTGCCTCTTATTACTGTTATGTAGAGCAATAACTCATTTATTCAGTTCACCATGACAGCTTTTTGTTGAATACCTACCCAAAGAAAGCTCTTTGGTGAGGTGTTTCAGAGGATATAAAAATGAGTAAGACACAAATCCTTTCATTCAGGGAGTTTATCCGGGGAGGGGCAAATACACAAATAATTATAGTTCAAAGCAAGATATGGCAAGTACCAGAAGAAGCTCAAGCAACTCAATGAGGATTCAGAAGGAAAAGATATCGTAGAACTACTTAACCCTTGACAATCCTAGGTAGTCCCCTGAGTAATAAATAAGTTTCCCAGACAACTAAAGCCAATTCCTTTTTTTTGTTGTTCTTTGTTTAACTTTTTATTAATATCTTTTATTTTTACATCACTTCTATTTCCCAGTATATCCCTTCCAGAGAATCATTCCTTATAAGAAAGAATAAAAAGGAAGGGGATAAAAGTTTAGCAAAACTAACCAACACATTGAACAGCTCATTCTATGGCAAGCCGTATTCCATACCCTTAGTCTTCCACCTTTGCGAAAAAGGGGGCGAGTTGCCTCTTCATTTCTCTTTTGAGGAGAATATGGACTTACTCCTTTGAAGCTTACTAAATTTTTTTTTTATTTAAGCTATTTTGAACAGAAATATTTCTAGAATATGACATACTTCCCTAGCTCCTTAAAATACAGTCAATCCCTGGCTTACAGAAAGTTTTGTTTTGAAAATTTGTGAGAAATATGGGGCAACTAGGTGGCACAGTGGATAGAGCACCGGCGCTGGATTCAGGAGGACCTGAGTTCAAATTCGGCCTCAGACACATAATACTTACTAGCTGTGTGACCCTGGGCAAGTCACTTAACCCCATTGCCTAGCCAAAAGAAAAAGAAAGTTTGTAAGTAAGTTGTTTAGAACTTGGAAGACATTTCAGTGAAATAATATAAGATTCCCACAGCAGTCTCTTTAATAATATACTTGAAAAATATTATTGTACTGATAGTAACTGGACCTTAACTACAATGAGTAAGAATGTTTCTGTGGCAAAATATTTTCAGAATCCTAGCCTGGGGTTTGAGGAGGATATTTCAGAAGCCCCCTCCCCTGAGTTAATGTAGGTCTGGCTTCAGGCCCACAGTCCCCTGCGTAGTGGGGAGTCCTCCCGGTTGAAGA